CTATGGAGGAGGAGCTTGGACATGGGTGAAATTCCACAGTCACTTAAAACAACGGATATAGCCCCACTCCATAAAGGTGGCAGCAAAGCATTAGCTAAGAACTATAGACCAATAGCTCTGACGTCCCACATCATAAAAATCTTTGAAAGAGTGCTAAGAAGCAGGATTGCAAATCACCTGGATTCCCAAAATCTGCACAATCCAGGGCAACATGGTTCAGGGCAGGTCGCTCCTGCCTCTCACAACTACTGGATCACTATGACATGGCCTTGGATGCACTGGAAGAAAATCAGAATGCAGATGTAATATACACAGACTTTGCAAAAGCATTGAGAAATGCGATCATGGTGTAATAGCCCATAAAATACGTGCTAAAGGAATAACTGGGAAAGTGGGGAGATGGATCTTCAACTCCTAACAAATCGAACACAAAGAGTAGTGGTCAACAGAGTTAAATCGGAGGCTGCCATAGTGAAGAGCTCTGTTCCACAAGGCACAGTACTCGCCCCCATCTTATTCCTTATCCTCATATCAGACATAAACAGAGATATACACCACAGCACCGTATCATCCTTTGCGGATGATACTAGGATCTGCATGAGGCTGTCATCTGCTGAGGACGCGGTTAACCTCCAAGAAGATATAAACAAGTTTTCCAGTGGGCAACGGTAAACAATATGATGTTCAATGAGGACAAATTCCAACTACTCCGTTATGGAAAACTGGAGAGATAATAACTAGAACAGAGTATACTACTGACTCCGCCATACAATACAGCGGAAAAATAATGTAAGGGACCTGGGAAGTAGTAATGTCTGAGGATCTCACTTTCAAGGATCACAACAGTGCCACGATCGCACGTGCAAAGAAATGATAGGATGGATAATGAGAACTTTCAAAACGAGAGATGCCAAGCCCATGATCCTTTTCAAACACTTGTTTCCTCTAGGCTGGAAACTGTTTACATTAACATCTCCATTCAAACGGTGAAATCGCAGATCTAAAGTGTCAGAGACCCTTTTACTGCACAAAATTCGTAAAGCCCCTTTAACTAGGGGGAAGTTTGAAGCACTTGACTTACCTTGGAACGCAGAGGGAGAGAAAATCATAACTACACGGGAAAAATTTTGGGAAGGAAGGGCCCCAAATCCACACAAAAATCACTCCCTACAAAGTAAAAACGGGCGGGCGAGCAAAATCCCCCCCAATAAAAAGTAGGGCACCATTGATACCTAAGGGAAAACACCATAATTCCGGGCCCAAAACTGTTCCAGCCTCCCATCAACTTGGGGGAATTGCCAAAAACCCCGGCTGCCTTCAAAAGAGCTGGACAGATACCTAAAGTCATGGGGATCACCCGGGCTGGGCTCGTACTTGGGGCTGCGTGCGACCAGCAAACACCCTATTTTACGGGCCCGACCACGGGGGGCCTGGTCAAGGACCGGCCGGGGGGGGCTTTTAAACCCCAAATAACCTCCAGAAACCCCCCAGGTAACGCCCCTGTGACTCGTCTGAGCTTCAGCCCAGTTTGACCCCTTGTTTCGTGTCCCCCCCGGGAACACCTACCCTGTCCACCTTTCTTTTCCCCCAGTACGTATGTCTTTATCAGTCTCCCCTGACCCTTCGTCCTCCAGTGTCGCGTCCGTTTTCCCTAAACCCCTTTCCTCGTACGACATTCCCCTGACTCGGGGACTAGCCTTTTGAAAACCTTTGTACTTTCCTTAACTTTTTGACGTGTTTGACCAGGTGGGGGTTCCAGACTGGTGCTGCAACTCCATATGGGCCTAACAACACGTGTACAGTGTCTTGAACGATTCCTTAATTAAGGTTCGAGAGTACCCCCCAAATAGGGACCCAAAGGGCCCGGGCCCCCCCCACTATTGGAAAAGCCCGGGGGCCCGGGGGGAGAATCCCGGGCGAATAAAAAAAAAAGGATCGGAAGCTATTCTCAGGTTTTCCAGGGGCCCCCTAGCTGCAGCAGTTATTTGTTATGGTGCCTCCGGGGAGTCTCGGGGTTAGGCACCCCAAGGGCTTTTCCCCCGAGTGAGGTCTGTATCTTTGTCCACCAGCCTATCCTGTCGCGGTCTTCTTTGCCCCTCCCCAAACTTCATGACTTTGCATTTGGCAGGGTTGAATTCGAGAAGCCCGTTTCTGGCCCCCAGTCCACCTTTTCCCGTCCTTTCAGTCCTGCCTCATCCCATCCGATTTTTTTTCTTCTCATCAGCTTCACACATCTGCAATAGGGGCACTTAGAGTCTTTTCCCTTCCCTCATGTCGTTCGCATATATCAAAAATACACTGGTCCTAGAACTGGGCCCCCGGGACCCCGCTCTTTTACAGGCGCCCCCTGGTGTGTTGTGTTTGTGTGTTGTGGTGTTGTGTGTGTGTTTTGTTTGGGGTGTGGGTGGTGGTGAGTGGTGGGGGATGATGAATGAAAGGAGTGAGGTGGGTCCAACTTCTCCTGTTCCCCACTTGTAGTCCCAAACAAAAAAATTTTTCAAAGATTGAGTAGGGAACAGCCCTTTCTTTCCAATAAATTTAGGGAAACTTACCGTAAATAGCCTTCAAAAAAGCAGGGGTCCTTTAAACCCTTTTCAAACCCTGTGTAAAAAAAAAGGGAGTAACCCTCACAATCGGAGATAGTGTTAATGTTGATTATTAAAGCACACACGCATGTTTAATATTTTAAAAAGTAAGTGTTATACCCCTTCCAATAATTTTCTGTTATTACACACACATTTTTTTAAATTGCACGAATGTGGCTGGGTCACTTTCCTTTTTTATCCTACCTCACTCCCCCTCCCATCCTTTTTCCATATTTCTATCCTTAACCATCCTCCTTCCTAACCCTTCTTACCAAAGCTCTGGTCGTAAGTTAACTGGCTGGTATCGGCCGTGTAACCGCCCATGGAACAGCCCCCTAAGCAGTTCATAGTATTCCCATGTGGTGATGTTGCCACGAATACTCGCCGTGCACTTGCTATGAGTAACATCAACGTTTCCACCATAAACACATCATCTATCAAAGACCTCACTACGAAACGCAGCCCCACACCTCTAACTTCTACAGCAGGCGTCTACACTATCCCCTGTGGGTTCTGTCCCAAGAAATATGTAGGCGAGACAGGCAGAGATCTTGCAGTCCGCTTGAATGACCATCGAAATTCCTCTAACAGAGACGATGTAAGGTACGCCTGTGTCATCCACAGAGACTCCACGGGACATTTGATGAACTGGAATGAGGCCAACTCCGATTCAGTATCCACCGAACCAGACCTCCGACGCTGAGACGGTGCCTAGAAGCCTCACTAATCGCCGTCACATCACCGTACCTCTAGAACGCAACATCAACTGGAAACTACAAAATTTCAAAAACATTGGCCATACATGATACTTAAGCACCACCACCCACCCACACACAGGAGTCACATGATTTCAAACGACCTAACCCGTCCTCATCAAGGCAGAGGTTGTTTGATAAAGGACCTGTCCACGCATGGGCCAGTTATGCCTTCCTACAGTGTTCTCCTCAATCTATGTTCTTAATGTACATTCCTCAGGTCACGTGCGTACACCTCACACTCCGCCTATATATATAAGTGCCTTTCAACTTTCTGTATGTTAGATACGAGACGCTCCCGGCAGGCAATCTAGGATGAAATTCCGCCTCCGAAGAGGAACCCAGAGTTGACTGCGGCCACACTAGTGTACCATGGAGTCCAAGACCCCAGACAATCTGTTTTACCTGTGATAACGTCATATCCACCTCCTCGCTAGTGTCCATAGATAGGAGTACATACGGTGGTTATTCGCTTATGAATTGCACCAGTTGGAACTGAACCAGAAAGAGTGCTTTGAACAGCAATAATCGCATCATTGTAAGAACCTTTCCCCTCGGGAGCCAGATACTGGGTCATCGCAAGATTAGACCCTTGCCAGGACTACGTTCTTGGCGAACATTAATACATAACAATCTGTATGTTAGAAGTGAACAAGGTCCCAAGACCGAAACGTTTTCTAATAAATAGGTCATAGTGTTGCCTTACGTGTCTTATCAAACCAACTTGTCGGTATTTTATTTACCAAGGTTTTTATACCAACCGATACGTATACCGAAAGAATGGCCTGATACTTACAGATACTTGGTTTCTTTCCCGAAGCTGGTTGAGTATTGTCTTTTCCTACCATCCACTGTACGATATACGACACACTACTGAGACATCGTCCTATCTATCATAAGTCTATCGGGGGAATTTTAAAAACCCTTTATAAAAAAGATACAGTGGAACGTGCAGTATGTTTTACGAACCCCTTGAAATAGTTACACTAACTGTAGTAATTTACGTGCGGATATAGAATTTCGAAAGAATTGTAAATCCTAATTTAAGTTGTGAGGTCTCCGGCTCCTGAGATCCTGATTGGCAGCCTAAGATGCAGCACGTCAAGGCGCTGAAGCTTTGCAGAGGAAAGGTCGGGAGGCAGGGGCGCGCTGTTCGCTCTAGTGGTTGGAGAGTCAAGGTATGGAGGGGCCTGGAACCCCAGAACCCAGCTCTTTGAGGGGCAACCCATGACATCTTCGTCCCCCACGAACCCAGTATCTCTCAACTTTGTGGACGAAAGTTTGTTATTGGTGGGCCCAAGAGCCTTATCATGTTGAGCTTGTGATTTTCCTCCCTGTGATCAGCCAGCACCGTGGGCCTGGGTGTCTGTCTGGTCTGTATGTCTGTGTCTGTATGTTATGGTGAGTATGAGTTTGAAGCTTTGAGTGTCATTAACCGAAGGTGTTTCGTGTATTGTAGTGAACTGAAGCTCAAGAGCCCTTGGGATCACATCTTGAAAGGAATCGAACCCTATTCTTAGATGGGCGAAGTGCATTATTAGGCAAGTCTTCTTATAAGTTTCGTGTTCACCTAGCGCTAAGATAGTGGGGTGTTGTGGGTGGGATTTTAGGATGGGGAAACAAATCACAATAAGTTAATGAAAGCTTTGTTATTATTCAGGCGGAGCATGGTGGAACTTCGTACTCTGGAGCAGGCTGGTGACGGCGGGGTCGGCCACCACTACCCCTCCCACCAACATGACAGCAGTGAGTCCTCATCTTCAGATTCTGCCGACGGCTTCATAACAACTAACAGGACACTTCACGTAAGATCCTCGTACGTGAGCACGGCCATGGACGCCTCAGAGATCTTGCAGCAGTCACCCATCTTCAAGAACAAGACCTCGTCATCATCGTCGTCGTCACCTGAACAGAGCAGGTCCGAGAAAGAGGCACCCAGAGGCTCTTCTCCCTCCTCCAACATCAACGCCAGGTGAGTACCCTGTGATGCAATAAACCCGTGTTACTGAGGTGAGTACTTCACTTCAGTTGTTTAATTATTAGTATTATATTCCCTTGGATCTCACAGCGCTTGTTGAATGAAATTTTTATAAAGTTTGTCCCAATTATACAAATAGCATATCTCAGTTATTTTGAATGATTGGCCGCGTACCTTACAATCGCTGCAGTGCTCAGAGTTCCTGCAGTTGTTTAATGATTGGTGTAACCATACAGAAATTTTAGATTTTTTCCCCGAGGGGCAAATTTATTGGAGGTATCTTTCCATCATCCCAGTGGAGGAAGTCATAATTGTGGCAACGTTTCGCTTGTGCCAAAGCTTTACCATGTCATGGATAAAAGAAGTATCTACACAGAAGCTAAACGAGATTCTGCATCCGTGTCTAGTTGTTGCCAAAGGATCAACCTACTTGTGGTTCCTCTCTCACTCTCAACACTAGAAAAATTTAAAACAGTTTTTTGTAATTTTTACAACAGTCAAAAGATATATTGGGAAAATACAACCCTCGCTGAAGACCGTATTAAAAAGCGTACGTTCAACAAACCAAACTGTAAACTTCTGCATTATAAAACATTTCGAAAAAATACGTTTTCTTTTACGCGTATGAAATACAAATGTTATGTGCCCCCACCCCTCTCTCCCTCTCTCTCACTTCTCTCTCACCTCTCCCGGGATAAAGCCAAGATTGCAACAGGTGACGAGCGGTGTGTTAACGAAACCCATGGTGAGTGGGTAGAATGAACCCTGGTTAGGGCCGGTATGCTCATGTATAGTACACTGACCTGCATAGTTTTTAAGGGCCCATCATGCATTCGAATTTCGACCCTTTGTGGTCTTATTATTCCCACCCCCCCAGGCGCTGTATAACCCCTGTGGGTTTAGTGCCCCCTTGACTAAAATGAAAAGTCCATTTTTCAGCGTGAAATGTAAATTGAGAATGTCATCAAACAGATTAAAGGATTGGCTTAGGAGTTGTCCAAACTTCTTCCTCGCGTTTCTACTGTAATTTTACAGCCAGGCTTTAAATAATAAAATACTACAAAGCACCCCAGTGGAAAAAAGTCAGAGTGTCTTAGTGACAAAGTAAAGAAAATTCATATTTGTGTGTATCTATAGAAAATAAACTTAAAGGATACCAGAGAGTGGATACGAGACAAGAATGGAGTGACAGATTGTGGTGAAGGAAGGGGGGATAGAGGTAGAGGTAGAGGCAATATAGATTAGACTGGGAGGAGGAGCATGATTGGGGGTAAGGAGGGAGCGAAGGAATCTGAAGACTGGGAAATGGGAAACAGAAGAGAGGAAGGGAAGCAAAGATTAGGATGAAAGGACAGGGAGACGGACGAGAAGAGCATAGATTGGGATGGGAGGAAGAAGTGGAAAGAGAACAGGCAGCGTAGATAGGAAGAAAGGTGGGGGACGAAAGAGGATGGGGTGATGGGGAGTGCCTGCCACTACCATGATGGGGAACACCATTCTCAACAACAGCAGATTTTGCAATAAGGGCACGACGTTCGCGCCGTGGCACCCTCGTCAGTGATGCCTGGCACAACATATTCCGCACACACTTCCACAAGCAACGGTCACAGACACGCACGTTTCCCCACAAAGAGCTACGGTACAGCAACGCACTTCCACAAGCACGGTCACAGACACGCACTTCCACAAGCACGGTCACAGACACGCACTTTCACACGCATGGTCACAGACACGCACTTTCACACGCACTTCCACAAGCACGGTCACACACACACTTCCACAAGCACAGTCACAAATGCACACACAGGTAAAGCTTTGTCATGTTAGGGATACAACGAATCAGTCAGTTTACTTTCTTTATGTTGTTAATAATTATAGATGATATTTTACTGTATCTGATAGTTGGGTAATAGGAGGACCCTGGTGGAAATAATTTACATTGACTAGTCCGAGTTATAAAAGGTAGTTTACACACGTCACCATTTAAGGCAGTTGTAAACTGTAATGTGCCGGAATAGACTACTAATATTGTGAAAAACATTTTCAGAATTCAATCTCTGCATACTCTTCCTGTGTCATACTTCACCATTTGTCATTCCACCAGTCATGTATGTTTACCAGGTCTTCAAGTGATGTGTTAATGAGTTGAACAAACTCCCAGGTAGCGTCACTCAGGCTGGAGGCTGGTGGGGTATTGTTGAGAAAATGGTATAAAATACCGACAAGTTGAAGATTAAAACACTTGAGCAACACTACAAGTGCGGTCTCAACACTTCTCCAGGCTGAAGGACTGACCACCTCAAATCCTCTTTTCCTCCCCTATTCCCCCCAAGGTTGAAGGTCCGATCGAGTAACATCAACATTTATTTCACTACTACATTCTGCTTCCTCTTTAATTAAGACTGAAGAAGCCTACTGTGAAGCGAAACGTTTCATCAAATGAAGATACCCCAAATGTGTATAATCTGCAAGTGAATGGGGTATGATGCTAATACCTTGAAAGGCTGGGTAATAATCATGTGATCTGCATTGACGCCTGCAAACATCCGCCTATATACGTTATCAACTGTCTGCCCCATTGTATCTGCTTACCCTTCCTTCACACTCCCCCCCACTTTGGCCGGCAACTCAGCCCTCCCCACACCCCCACTCAGCCCTCCCCCACCCTCCACTCTGGCCCTACCCCACACCACGTGCCCTCCCCACACCTCCACTCTGCCTCCCCACACCTCATTTCACATTTAACTCAAACCTTTCTCTAACACTTCCGTCTTATATCCTTCACGCCTGGTTAATAATGCCTAACCTGAGTATTTAAGCCAATTAGAGTGCCCTGTAACCTTCAACGCTCCCTAAACCTGTCCACACTCAAAGCTGGTAGTGATAGTCCTCGCCATCAAGTTCTAGAGTTTGACTGGTGATGTGTTTGCTTTCAAGGTCTGCCATTTGTTACCCTGACTGACACTTGCTCTCATGTATGCTTTGTTCACAACCAGTTGCTATGTTGCGGTAATGTCTTTCAAGTACAGTGGGGTTCCAATTATACGGCAGGTTAGGTTCCAGGCTACCGCCGTAAAGCGGAACGACTTTGTTTTTCCCAGTTATGAATGCATATAAACGACATAACAAGTTTACACTAATATATATTACGCTAACAGTAGAACTAGGAATTAAAGTAGGGTGAGAGGTGAGTAGTGTTTATTGTAGGAAGTCAGGTGTGGTAGGTATGGTAGCCCGCCTGAGTACATTAGCTACACGTAATATACGATATTTAAAGCGGCCCAGAGCGATAAAATACACAGTACACTCATGACTTAAGTTAATGTAGGGTGAGAGGTGAGGATTGTAGAAAGTCAGGTGTGGGAACTCCTTTGAGAGATAAGGAGACGCCGAGAATTGTAAACACACTCAGACGCGTATTAATACCTATCTATTTTTGGTTCATGAGTTGGTGAAACATTTACCCTACAATACGACACTTACATTGTGTACAAGTTGTCTTCACGTTAGTAAAGTAGAATAAATAAATAAATAGCTGCGAGTGGTGTTGGTGTTGGACCATAGAAAACGTAATTCTCGCCCTTACCTCCGACAAGCCGCCCGGCTACCACGTCTTATACTTATCAGATTTATTCTACTGTGGGCGTATGTATCATGTTTATATGTTATGTAGCGTGTTTTTTTATATAATTTTGAAAAAAGTATGGAAGGTTTAATGAAAATGTATATATTTACGTAATATACTAAATTTAAAACGCTCCATAGCGATTATTATTAATAATATGGCGTCTTCAAGACTAATAAGACACTTGGTGATTTTAATGTGTACCTGTACATAAGTATAATTATCAGAGTATACCTGGGTATACCCGGAGAGGGTTTTGGGAATCAGCGCCCCCGCGGCCCGGTCTGAGACCAGGCCTCGTGGTGGATCAGGGTCTGATCAATAACTTTAAAACACTTGATGTAAACAAACAGGAGGGGCGGGAGGAGACAGTATTAGCGAGTCAGGTAGAGGAGGGGGAGCCGTATAACGTGTTTTGGTCATAGTTTGAAATGTCCGTATTAACGAAACTCTGTAAAGCGGTGCCCTACTGTTACATGCTTTAAATGAAGTAACATTACCATGGCAACTATGCCAAATCATTCTGGAAATCTTGTATATGTATGTATATGACAGTTTTGTATCATTTACAGATGACACTAAAATAAGCATGAGTCACTTCGGTAGAAGACACTGAAAAATTACAGGAAGATATAGTCGGTGTTTGCCAGTAGACAGTGGAGAACATGACGTTCAGTGCTGATAAGTTCCAGCTGCTTAGGTATGGAAAGAATGAAGAATTCAAAAGGGATACTGTATACAAAACTCAAGAGGATCGTCAAACAGAAGGAAAGGAACACTTGAAAGACCTGGGAGTAATTATGTCGGCTGACTTTTTTCAAAGAACACAAGACAAACGTGTATTAGCATGCGTGGGCCTAGACTATTCAACATCTTACCAGAAAATATAAAAAACACCGCTGGGTAAAGTGTGTGTGTGTCTTCAAGAGGAAACTGAGCAAATAATTTCACCTAGTGCCAGATCAGCCAAGCTATGATAGATATGTGAGCCAGTGGGCCGCCAGTAGCAATATCCTGGTTGACCAGGCAAGCACCTACGAACTTTGGAACAAGGTACACAGTACTATACAGACCATGCCAGACCAGATAGTACTCTGGTGTCCAGTCAAGCTAGGCGTTGGATCCAGAGTAGCTGGCACCAGGCTGGTGATTAGTTTTTCATTCCCTCTCCCACAGGCACCGACCAACGAAAGATAGCTGGATTGTGTCCCAGAATATTGTCTGGTCTGGCGTGTTGTGCCTAGTGCTACTTTGTCCCTAAACTCATAGGTTTCAAGTCTTCTCCGACCCGAGAGAAGTTTGCGCGCGCGCACACATACATTCTCTGTTTCCTCATGGGAATCTTCAGCTCATGGAGACGAGACATGCC